GACACACAGTGTTTACAATGGAATGATTTGACAATTGTACGCATTAGTTGGTGCTCATCATGTTAAGTGCACTAATCCCCATCACCTATTTCACCCACCCTCCAACCCACTTCTTGTATCCTGCAGTTCTCTATAATTAAGAGTCTTTTTCTTGGTTTGTCTTTTTCCTTTTTTTTCCTCCTTTGCTCATTTGTTTCTTAAGTTCCACATGTGAGTGAAATCATATGGTGTTTATCTTTCTCTGACTGGCTTATTTCACTTAGCATGATACTCTAGCTCCATCTGTATTGTTGCAAATGGCAAGATTTCATTTTTTGGCTGAATAATATTCTATTGTAAATGTATATAATATCTTTATTCATTCATCTATCAGTGGATACTGGGATGCTTCCGTAATGTGGCTATTGGAAATTATGCTGCAATAAACATAGGGGTGGGTGTATATCTTCAGATTGGTGTTTTTGTATTCTTTGGGTAAATACCCAATAGTGTCATTGTTGGATCGTAAGGTAATTCCATTTTTAACTTTTGAGGAACCTCCATACTGTTTTTCACAGTGGCTGCACCAGTTTGCAGTCTCACCAACAGTACAGGAAGATTCCTATTTCTCCATATCCTCGCCAACACTGTTGTTTATGTTTTTGATTTTAGCCATTCTGACAGGTGTGAAGTGATAGCTCATTGTGGTTTTGATTTGCATTTCCCTGATGATGCGTGTTGTTAAGCATATCTCTCTTGGCCATCTGGATGTTTGGAGAAATGTCTGTTCATGTCTCATGCCCATTTCTTACTGTATTATTTGTTTTTTGGGTGTTGAGTTGTATAATGTATAAATTCTTCATATATTTTGGACATTAACCCTTTGTGAGATATGTCATTTGCAAACATCTTCTTCCATACAGTAGGCTGCCTTTTAGTTTTGTGGGTTGTTTCCTTTACTGGACAGAAGCTTTTTATTTTGATGACGTCCCAGTAGTTTATTTTTGCTTTTGTTTCCCTTGCCTCAGGAGACCTATTTAGAAAAATGTTGCTACAGCCAATGTCCGAGAAATTACTGCCTGTGCTCTCCGAGGATTTTTATGGTTTTAGGTTCTCACATTTAGGTTCTTAACCCATTTTGAATTTATCTTCATGTATACAGTAAGCCAGTGGTCCAGTTTCAGTATTTTGCATGGAGCCATCCAGTTCTCTCAGTAACATTTGTTGAAGAGGCTTTTTCCCATTTCCTATTCTTTCCTCCTTTCTCAGAGATACATTGACCATATAAATGTGGATTTGTTTCTGTGATTTTTATCCTATTCCATTGATCTCTGTGCTTATTTTTGTGCCAATGCCATACTGTTTCGATTACTACAGCCTTGTAGCATAACTGGGAATCTGGAATTGTGATATCTCCAGTGTTGTTCTTTTTCAAGTTTGTTTTAGCTGTCCTGAGTCTTCTGTGGTTCCATACAAATTTTAGGATTGTTTTCTGTGAAAAATGTTGTTGGTATTTTGATAGGGATTGCATTAAATCTGTAGATTGCTTTGGGGTAGTATGGACATCTTAACAATATTTGTTTTTCCAATCCAGGAGCATGGAATATTTTTCCATTTATTTTTGTCATCTTCAGTTTCTTTCATTGGTGTTTTATAGTTTTCAGAGTACAGGTCTTTCACCTCCTGGGTTGAGTTTACTCCTAGGTATTTTATTATCTTTGGTGCAATTGTAAATGGGACTGCTTTCTTAATTTCTCTTTCTGTTGCTTCATTGTTAGTATAAAAATGCCATGGATTTCTGTATGTTGATTTTGTATCCTGCATCCTTACTGAATTCATTTATCAGTCTAGTCGTTTTTTGGTGGCGTCTTTAGGGTTTTCTATATGTAATACCATATCATCCACAGATAGTGAAAGTTTTACTTCATCCTAACCAATTTGGATGCCTTTTATTCCTTCCTCTTGTCTGATTGCTGTGGTTAGCACTTCCAGTCCTATGTTAAATAATGACCATCTACTCGTCACTGCAGCGTTGGGTTCACCAGTACAACCTGTAACTGCAGTGCAATCACTTGGAGGGCTGTGGTGATTTTAAAGTTTGAAAAATTTTAATTAGAAGAGATGGTTACATTTGAAAAGTGTAAGAAAAAATCTTAGATGTGGAGTTAATTTGCTTAGAAAACAGAACTCTGAAAATGAGACACACTTAATCATCATAATCTTGGTTATTCTTCAGTGATTACTTAACACGAAAACCCTTATTTTTCTACACGCGTTTACTACTGGCCTAGAGAGGCCTCAAAAGCAGGCACTTGTGTCACCTGTTCACCTTGTGCTTCAGTATTTTTTAGCATAAGCCCAGCACATTTTAGGTGTGTGTTGAATAAAACTGAGCATTTCTAAGGTAGATTCTTTGAATTAGAGTCAAGCTGGTTAAGGCTGGAGAAGAAGGAGGGGCGGGGGGACAAGTTTAAAGTGAACAACAGTGAACTGGGAGGGCTTTTTAAGGTATGGCATTTGCTGAAGAGCAGCATTTAGAAGTTGTCTTGGGTTCCTGAGGCCTCAGCCTGAGATGTCATAGCCCTCAGGTGGTGGTCTTTACCATGAATACAGCAGTAATGCCAAAAAAGTTTTTTGGTACTTTGTCGGGGGATTCTTCTGAGGCGTGTTATCTTTTTCTCCTCTTTTTATTTTAATTTTTAAATAGGCCTTTCCTGTACATGATACAAAGTTCAAAAGGCATACGGTGTGGTGTTTTGCTCCTACCCCTGACCCATGTCCTGTTCCCTGAAGGCAACCAGCACAACCAGCTTCTTGTATATCCTTCCAGAGATAATGTGTGCATACTGTGTGTATATTTCTTTTTTTATAAAACTGGCAGCACTCTTTAGCTCCTTGTTTTTATTTAATATATTATGAAGCTAGTTTCATGCCAATTTACAGAACTTAGCTTTCATACTGCATGGTATTTTATTGTAAAGGTATGCAATCATCAGTTTCCGTTTTAAAAATTTTTATTTATTTTTTTTTTAGAGAGCATATGTGAGAGGGGAAGGGGGCAGAGGGGGGGGGAGAGAGAGAATCCCAACCAGGCTCCACACTCCATGCAGAGCCCAATGCAGGGCTTGATCCTATGACCCTGGGATCATGCCCTGAGGTGAAATCGAGTCAGATGCTCAACTGACTAAGCCACTAAGGTGCCCCTTATAATCATTATCCCTTTTTTTTTTTTTTAATTTTTTTTAACGTTTATTCATTTTTGAGACAGAGAGAGATAGAGCATGAATGGGGGAGGGTCAGAGAGAGAGGCAGACACAGAATCTGAAACAGGCTCCAGGCTCTGAGCTGTCAGCACAGAGCCCGACGCGGGGCTCGAACCCACGAACTGTGAGATCGTGACCTGAGCTAAAGTCGGACGCTTAGCCGACTGAGCCACCCAGGCGCCCCGTAATCATTATCCTTTTAATCCTATTAATCAGTTCCCTATTTTGGCCATTTCAGTTGATTTTTTTTTTTTTTTTAAAGCTCAGCACATAACTTTTATATAAATCATTTTGAACACGTTTACATATGTGGGAATATACATGTTTGAGAAATTACTAAAAGCATTATCTCTGAGTCCTGGTCTGTGTTTTCTGTCATATTCATAGGTCTTGCCAGATTGATCTTTATAGTTTCTGTACCAGTTTAACTCTCACCAGCAGTGTATGTACACAAAGGCATCTATCTCACTACACTCTGGTCAGCACAGGTACTTTGTAACTTTATCTTGGTCAGACTGGCACAGACGGAAAATTATTGAAGTGTTAATTTGCATGTCACTTACGCATGAAGTATTGAATATCTTTACATTTTTGTTTCCTGTTTTAAGAACTTTGACTCAGTCAATGTTTTGTCTATTTTTCTGAATGGCTAAAAACTGAGGTTGATTCTTACTACCTTCCATTTCACGGGAGCCCATTTGTCTGAAGTTAGAAGAGTGTCTCTTTAGGGAGTTAAAGGAATAAATAAAATTATTATACTCCCTCTTTCCTTTACTCTCCCTTCCTCTGCCTCTCATAAGTGTGTGATTTTATGAAGTCTCCAGACGTTTATGTTCTCTTCTGAATTTTCTTTGTAGTCAGATTTTAAGACCTCTGTGACCTGATGGAGACCCGTCTACTCCTACCATTTATAATACAGTTTGTGAGGTAAAACCACAGACTCTTATGCTCTCCGGGGACATGATGATAGGAGTTAAATAATTCTTCCTTCTGTTAAAGGAAACTAAATCCTGGTTATAGAGCCATTACCACTGAAGGTATTTCACAGAATTTATGCTGACAGGAAAGGAGCTATGGTACATAGCAGTATTTGTCCAGTAGGTTTATTTTCTTTGATTGGGCCTTGAGGTAGTGTAGGGCTGTAGACATGGAGGTGTTCTATGTTGTGTGTTCATTTTTTGATTTTGTTGTTAATTGAGAAACTGGATTTTTAATCTTTAAGCCAGTGTATAGAATGTGAATCAGGTTGCATGACATGGTCCTATTTTACCCAAAGTTGTTGTGTGTTTCTCTAAGTTCTTACCTCTTTTTCTAAATTTTCAGTGTTCAGTAATCAGATAAATATTTGGCATGTTTGCTTTTGACACTAAAACTTCATAGATGCCCAAAAATCCTGAGAATATGGTGGGATATTTTGAAATCCTTTTCAAATACATTCAGTTATCTGGAAAAGCTTATCTTTCGGGACACTCTTTGTCTCAGGTCATGATCTCATGATTCGTGAGTTCAAGCCCCACATCGGACTCTCTGCTGTCAGCACAGAGCCCACTTTGGGTGCTCTGTCCCCCTCTCTCTGCCCCTGCCCCACTTGTGCTCTCCCCAAAATAAATACTTAAAAAAACTTACCTCTTGTGTGATTAAATATATAAATCCACATGCGTGCGTATGTGTGTGTGTGTGTATATATATGTGTGTATATATATATGTATATATATGTATATATGTATATATATATACACACACACACATATGCACGTATGTGGATATATATATATATATATATGTGGATGTGGATCCACGCATGTGGATACACACACACACACACACACACACAGATATACAAGTATACGGTGTTCTTAGTATCTTAATTTTCACGGTTTTAAAATTGCTTAGAAAACAAACATTGTGACACAAAACATTAATTGATGAACTGAACACTAAAAGATTGTCATCCAAACATCCCTTCTCTGTTAACATTAGCATCTGTCTTTGTCTAGGGTTGTTGTGTTTCTTAGCCAAAGTCTCACTGTTCTAAAAATTGGGCAATGTAGTACAAATACAGTACAGATCTATTACAAAATAAAAATGCATTGATTTCATAAAGTCAGTGAAAATGATACTGAAGAAATAGTATACAAGAGTAGTAGTGTACTGGAAGCATTTTTAGAAAGAGTAATGAAAGGATTCTGAGAGACTTGGGCAAAAAGTGTGGCATCGTCTTAATCAGTCCATTATTTGGAAAAAGTATACCCAGAAATACCAGTGGTTGACTCATCTTTTTGGGGGAAGAATTGGAGAAGTTTTCTCTAGCTTACTGATTTGGAGATTGCAAATAAATTTTAGTGGGTTGGTGAATTTGCATAATCTGAATAAGGATAAATGGAATCATACAGTATAGCTTTTTCTATCTGGTCTTTACTTAGCATAATGTTTCCAGGATTCATCCATGTTGTATCATGTATCAGTACTTAATTCCATTTTATAGCTGAATAGTATTATTCCCTTGTGTGGATATACCCAATTTTGTTACTCATTTGTATGGACATTTGTGTTGTTTCTACTTTTTGACTGTTAGGAATACAGTTACTGTGAATGTTTATGTACACATTTTTGTGTGAAACTGGTTTTCATGTCTCTTGGGTATATACCTATGAGTAGAACTTGTGAGTCATAGTAACTTTATATTTAACTTCTGAGGAACTGCCAGACTCTTTTCCCCAACAGCTGTACCATTTACAATGCAATGTAATAAGGTTTTTACCTTTACCTTTACCTGCAGTGTGTAAGGTTTTTAATTTCTCTAATTTCTCTACGTCCTCACTTTTTTACTTAGCATAATATCCTCAGGGATCATCCATGTTGTCATAAATGGCAAGATGTCCTTTTTTCTCATGACTGAATAATACTGCATCATGTACATGTACACTGTATCTTCTCCATCTATTGATGGACACTTAGGTTGGTTCTATATCATGGCTAGTGTGAATGATGCTGTAGTGAACATGGGACTGCAGCTCTCTGAGATCCTGTTTTCATTCCCTTTGGATATATACCCGGAAGTGGAATGGCTGGCAAATGTTTATCAAAAAATAGAAAACATACTGTATGAATAAGTATAAAGACCTTCCACCTTTAAGTTTTATTTTCTTCTAGTCAGCCTATTTTTCTCTATGTACTTTCTCTCTCGGCAGTCTCCTAAGTACCACAATATAAGTTATGATCTCCTAAGATGTTCCCAAATTGTGGATCTCTTTCCTTAGTCTGTTTCCTAAATTTCAGATATATATTTTCAGCTTGCTTTTGACTCCTCCACTTGCCTTTTAGATACAAGTTCATAATCTTCTCTTACACACTGGTTTATCATTCTCAGAGGTACATTTTTATTAAAAGCATCATCATTTTCGGGGCGCCTGGGGGGCTCAGTCGGTTGCGCGTCCGACTTTGGCTCAGGTCATGATCTCACGGCTTGTGAGTTCGAGCCCCGCGTTGGGCTCCAACACAAAAACTGTGAGATCATGACCTGAGCCAAAGTCAGGACGCTTACCGACTGAGCCCCCCAGGCACCCCTTGAATGACATCTTTACATCTTTTGCAGGTGTTATGTTAAGCAGCCACTACTTCTGGTTATTTGCACAAAAGTAGAGCTTGGATACTTGACCTATATTAAATGCCCACTTGTTGAATTTATATGCAAATATATGTTAATATATGCCTGTATCATATTCTAAGTGCTAAGTAATTCATTTACATTACTTTTCAGCGTTTTCCCATCACTCTCTCAGGAACTGTTAGTTGTTTTTGCTTTCTTTTGTTTTAAAGTATCTTGTGTGGTACTATTTACACTGTAGCTAATTAATAAATGTTTGACAGGGGCGCCTGGGTGGCGCAGTCGGTTGAGCGTCCGACTTCAGCCAGGTCACGATCTCGCGGTCCGGGAGTTCGAGCCCCGCGTCACGCTCTGGGCTGATGGCTCAGAGCCTGGAGCCTGCTTCCGATTCTGTGTCTCCCTCTCTCTCTGCCCCTCCCCCGTTCATGCTCTGTCTCTCTCTGTCCCAAAAATAAATAAACGTTAAAAAAAATAATAATAAATAAATGTTTGACACATTGAGAATCTTGAATCTTAGACCCTCCATAGTCTTGGTTTTCTTTTTTTTTTTTTTAACGTTTATTTATTTTTGAGGCAGAGAGAGACAGAGCATGAACGGGGGAGGGGCAGAGAGAGAGGGAGACACAGAATCGGAAGCAGGCTCCAGGCTCTGAGCCATCAGCCCAGAGCGTGACGCGGGGCTCGAACTCCCGGACCGCGAGATTGTGACCTGGGTCCAAGTCGGACACTTAACCGACTGAGCCACCCAGGCGCCCCATATAGTCTTGGTTTTCAACATTCTCTTCTGGTAAAAAATTTTGAGACCTTGTCGATCTGAAAAATGCCTCTATTTTGTTCTTGCTTGTTAGGCAAATCATAATTATCATTTGAAAATAAATTTTTCTTTAAAATGTTCAAGACATTGTATCATTTTCTAGCTTACAGTGTTGCTGTCTATTGAAGTCTGATGCCATTTCGATTCCTTTGTTGTGGTAGGTGCTCTCATTTCTTCCATCTGGTGACTCATGTCTTTAAGTTCTAAAAACTGTGTGTGTGTGTGTGTGTGTGTGTGTGTGTGTGTGTGTGAGAGAGAGAGAGAGAGAGAGAGAGAGGGTGTTTTGTTTTTTCCTACTTCCTCAGTTTTCTCTCTCATGCTTTCTGGCATGTCTGTGTTAGATGTAGGTTATCTAGCGCTTATCCTCTAATTTTGTTTTTTGGTTTTCCACTTTCTTTCTTGACTTTTTGGTCTGCTTTCTGGGTGACATTCAGCTCTTTTTTCCATCAGAGTTCTTATTTGTTCTTATCTTGCTGTCTTTTTTTAATAGCATCTTATTTCATTGATAGAGTTATTTTTTTCTTTATGAAGCATCAGACAAAAGCACATGAAAGAGAATACAGTACATGGAATAGAATAAGATATGTAAGAATGCATGTACATTCAGTACTCCTTTCTTAGAAAGAAAAGATAACACAGATGGGTTTATATATATATATATTTTTTTTTTTGGTCTTCCACTGTCATTGTATAGGACTTCAGGATGGAACTGGAATAAACACATGTGTCTGTCTCCATGTTTTTGTTTTCTGCCACTTTCTTTCTATGTACAACTCCTCGTCATCCTTAAAGACAATTCGGATGTTTATTTCCTTCAGGATACTTTTTCCAGTCCTCTCTCCTAAGGCCAGTTTTAGTATAAGATAGTATATGTTTCCTTTCTATTTTCCTCGAGTGCCTATGAGGTAGTAGTGATGGTGGTTAAAAGTGTATGCTTTGGACAGAGACAAATCTAGGCTTAGATCCGGGGTCCAGTATAGAGCTCACTGTGGCATGTATGACCCTAGTATAGTTATTTAACCTGAGTATGTACTGTAGATATAATAAAGATACTTCTAATAGCAGTGTAAAAGTATATGAGAATGCAATTAAAGGACATGGCACACAGTAAGAATTGTCAGCCATGATTGTTAGCCTGTGAATTCCTTGGTGGCTGCTACTGTGGATCTCCAGTGTCCTTTAAACATAGGAGACCGTTAATATGTGCTTTTAACACATAAATACTTGCTGTATAAATGAGCAAACCAGAATTCCACAAATAGCCATCAAAGAACTTGTGCTGTCTTTGTCTATAAATTAAAAACAACTCCACACACATTTACAGGCTTTTATAAGGGATGTTGGATGCATTGCTTGTGCATGAATTTATTAGTGATTCAGTGTTTATCGAACAATTTCTGGAGATTGATTTAGAGCCTTTGATGGAAGAGGAATGATTGATAGACTAAGGGTAAGCTGTTCTAAGCACTGAAAAGAGTTCAAAATGTTGTAGAGGTATACTTACTAGTCTGACCCTGGAAATATGCAATGTCTAGTCTATGGTTATATAGGCCTGTAAGTAGCATTCTTACCAGGGATGAAAGAGAATGATGGTATAGATTTAGTGATTAAAAAAAAAAAAAGAGCTATGCAATACTTTGAATTTCTTTAGCACTGTGTGGTTGATTTCTGCACATTATTAGTAGAATTTTCACTTATTGGTCCAATCAACAAACAACTGAGTGTTGCCTTTGTGTCAGACATTTTCTCGGTACTAGAGATAGAGCAAAGAGTAAGATAGTGTTGGCCCTTAAGAATTACAGCTTTGAGTGTGTGTGTGTATGTGTTAGGAGCGGCAGCGTAGACACCAAAGGAGTAAAGCGGGATGATAGGTAAAGAATATTAGGTGGAGTGGGGAACTAGATTCTTTTCGGCCCCTCTGAAGGCAGGGTTAGTCCTTGAACCCAGGTCTCCTGACTCATGGTTTAGTGTTCTTTCATAACATGCTAGTCTTTTGAGTAGAATTTTTAGCAGACCAAAGTAAGTTTACATGGAGGGTTAGTGTGAATGAAGCCAACTCAAACATTTTCTTCAGTGGATTCTGTGGCCTGCAGATAGGACATTATTCTCGAGTTCCATATTACATAAGCTACCATTATTGCTATTTATTCTTAAGACAGAATGATTTTAAGAAATAGTATAATGGGGCGCCTGGGTGGCGCAGTTGGTTAAGCGTCCGACTTCAGCCAGGTCACGATCTCGCGGTCCCCGAGTTCGAGCCCCGCGTCAGGCTCTGGGCTGATGGCTCAGAGCCTGGAGCCTGTTTCCGATTCTGTGTCTCCCTCTCTCTCTGCCCCTCCCCCGTTCATGCTCTGTCTGTCTCTGTCCCAAAAATAAATAAACGTTGAAAAAAAAAAAAAAAAAGAAATAGTATAGTAATCTTCACATGACTGCTTCCTTCTCAGTTTACATTATTGTGGGGCTTTGGAAAAATTCAGGGCCTGAAAATAGACAATCTGAGTTTCCAGTTTAATTTTATATACAGCTTTAACTATATGAAGACGAGGATCCAGTTAGTAGCTCCCAAGTGCTTGGGTGCATGTTAATGGAATTTACTCCCCATAGTTTGAGGCACACAGTAAAAGTCAATAGCTTTTGGTCATGAGTCAGTAATAATCTTCCATTTTGTGAACATTGGAATGCATTTTCTACTTTAGTAGTTGCTCTAAACTTTTGAATGAAGTTAGGAATATATTTTTGAGAAACATTTTCTTTGGTACCTTAACTGCCACCATAGAATAGGTCCCAACTTGAAGTCTGTGTAATAAATTATGATAAACGTTTGTAATGAATACTTGTAATGCCCAAGACCTTAGGCAAAAGAAACTATATAGGTAAAAATTTTGTAATCCTTAGTTGACACAGACTTATGTATCTCTGTGTCTGTTCTAAGCACCCTTTGTGAATGAACATGTTATCTTTTTGGAGTACCTAAATTTACAGAGGACCTAATGCAACAGTCATTTTGAAGCCTTTAAAAATGAATAGAACATGTGTTTTTCCTTATAGTGTGGGTAGGTGGTGATGAGTGGCATTCTTACTTTTTCCCAAGTTTGATAACCCCTCTGAGAGGTGGACAAAGGAGTCGACAGAGCTAAGAGTGTCAGCTTTGTCCTTTCTGTCTTTATTCCTGATTCACCATTATAGCTGGACACTGACAGCTCGACAGCTCCAAGCATCCCTCAGAGGAGCCACCCCCAGGTGGCTTTGAGCTGAGGACAGGCATATACAGTTCTTTCTCTCAAATTCTCCCTTGTGAGGAGAGTGTGTGAAGGCTGCTAAGAGAAGCTAGTAGTTCTCTAGTAGTTCTCTAGTTCTCAGTGGTTCTCAACGTTCTGTAGGCATCAGAATCATCTAGAGAGCTTTAAAAAAAAAAAGCGTAGGCACCCCTGGGTTGCTCAGTTGGTTGGGCGTCAGACTCTTGATTTCGGCTCAAGTCATGATCTCACGGTTCGTGGGATTGAACCCCATGTCAGGCTCTGCACTGTCAAGCGCAGAACCTGCTTGGGATTCTCTCCCTATCCCTCCCCCACTCGTGTGCACGTGCGTGCTCTCCCTCCCTCCCCCTGCCCCCAAAACAAATTAATTTTTAAAAATACAGATACTTGGGACCAGTGCCTGGAATTTTAGATTTAATTTGTCTGGGATGGTATTTCTATAAAAGTTTCCTGGAGCAGTCTAATTGTGCAGCCAGAGTTCCAGTGGAAGTCCTACACAGGAAAGAGGGACTGGGGGAATAGAGAATGCCACCTGCATTTAGGTGTGAGTCCCTAAAGTGGTACTCCTTCCCAAATAATGCCACCGTTCACCATTTCCTGTGTAGTACAGGAGATTAAATTGCTCTGGAGTCAGACTATCTGAAAGCATCATAACCTTAAAAATGGAGATGATAGTACTTAATTCACAGAGTTGTTTTGAAGCTCAAATAAAGTAATGTGTTTGAAATGCCTAGTGTGATACCTGGCACACAGGATAAGTGCACATCTAATTAGGACATCTTTATTAAATAATTTGTCAGCACGCATGGGGTGTTGAATAATTATTTCTAAAAAATCTACATTCGTATAGATTGCTCTTTATCTGTGTGGTTCATATTTGTCATTTTTAATCACAGCTGAATATTAAATCTTGACCCTTCTTCAGTTGTATAGCATGTGGGTTATATCTCGTTTTCCACAAATAATTGCTAGAACTGACAATTACGTGGAAAGAGGAGTTCTTTGATTTTTTTGGAGTACAGTTGCTTACAAAAATGGAATTACCAGCTCGTATAGGTATGGTCAATATTATGAGGTTACTATAAAGTGGAGGTATCATGTGATAAACCATTGAGGATGTGTAGATTTGCCATTTGCCCACTTAACCAAGGTGACTGAATAAGGGAATGTTGTGCCTTGCCAAGAAGTACTTGATGGACTAGAAAGTGAGGGATTGTCAGGGAACAGGACATGTTCTAGGCCTTAGATTCATATAGCAAGAAAAGGTATTCAGGGCTGAAAAACAGTTTACATTTGTAGAGAACAATTTTGGTACAGCATTGATGCTATTTCAAGAATGACAGTGATCTAATATTTACCTTTCCTTTTTTAAAAATAACAATACGTAAGTAGATATTACATTTGGCCATTAGCCAAGTTGGTTTTGCATTTATATAAAAATATGAATAATGGGCATTGTCTTTAGACATAAGTGTTTTCAGAGGTGTTTTTATATAGCTGAGTAATTACTAACCTTTTTTCCCTTAAGTAGGGATGGCAAGTGAGAGGTTAGAATTGTTCTTATGAATACTCTCGATAAAGGAACTTTAGATGAGTTCATTTTATATGCAGAAGCTTTGCAGAAATGAAGATTATCAGGAAGTATATTCCTGCCAGAAATGTAATGTCCAAGTTACTTAGTCTGCCACTTGGCTGATGAGATCAGACAAGCCTGGTAGGTGTTTAAAAAACCATACATATACATAATAAATGTGTGTGTGTATGTGTGTATGTACATGAGTTCATATAAGTTCTTATTTCTGAGGGACCAGGATCTATTCTTAAAGCTAGATGTAAGTTAGATTTTGGAGAATAATTAAATACCAGTCTGTTCCTTCCTAGTTCTTTCTTGCCATGTGAAGTCAATCAGCTTCAAAGCAATCACCACTTCCACTCCATACTAATAACTCTTCTTTTGGTTTTTTTTTTTTGTTTTTTTTTTTTTGTAATTGCAGGAGGTTTATCGAATTCCAAAGAAAAGTCAAACTGAAAAGGAGAACACAAGTAGGTATTCAGAGGTACTCTGTGTATATGGCTTTAAAAATACTCTTTTGGAAATATGCAGAGGTAAATGATAAGAATTTTAGCTATTTTGTTTTTGAAACCCAACAGTATGTAATTAGGTGAATGAAGTATTTGGTGTAAAAGTTTGTGAACTTGCCTTTTTATTCTTTCTTAGTGAATTTTTGCCAAAAGAGATGTCCCTTTACACTACCTTTGGTGTTGCTTTCCTTGAAGTCACTGCTTTTAGTAGCTTTTCTTCCATTTATTTGTTCCTCTAGAACAGGCATTGTTAAACCTGTACTCCTAAATGTCTGTATAAGTCTTTACCTGTAGATGTTTATATGCAGAATCCTTTATTTACATTCATTTTTCTAGGGAAAATTCAAAACTTTCATCAGGTTCTCAGGGACTCAGTGATCCCTCAAAAGGTTAAGAGTCATTACAGGGACAGCTGGCTGATTCAGTCGGTGGAACACATGACTCTTGATCTCGGGGTTGTGGGTACGAGCCCCATGTTGGGTTTTGAGATTAATTAAAAATAAAATCTCGAAAAAAAAGAAAAAGAATCATTCCAGAAAAGGTAACAGGGAGGCCATGGTAGTCTGGTTTCTGGGTTTTACTACTTAGTTGTGTTTCCAGCGTACTTCTTTAAAGATGAAAACAATGGATCTTATGGTGGCTGTTGTTGATCTCTTGAGCCCTCCAGTATTGACCCAATATAGAGTGAAGGAGCTAGTGTGATCATATTTTTGGTCTTTTTCTTTTTGTTTCTTTTTTTCTTTTTCTTTATTTTTGGCATGAAGAGCTTTTTATAGTCTTAAAACTTAATGGTTAAGTAATCATATAGGTTAATGCCCTGTGAGGTGTACTTTGTACCGTTGTTGGGGTTTTGTTTTTGTCTTGGATATTTTTAACTCTATTGGTTTAGTGTCTTCATAGCCAAACATCCTAGTTTGGGCTGGAAAGAATTCCTCCCATAAGAAAGAAGGCAGGGTTGAGTAGTGCTGGTTGGCAAAACCAGTGGCACCACTGTAAGCTTGATCATCAGAGGCTAGCTTCTCTGGGCTCACTGAGCTGAAATCAATAGCAGGATGGGCAAAGCTTAAATTTCTATGGGGTTTTTCCCCCAATATTTTGCAAATATCTACTCTGGGGTGCCCTCTGAGAGCGATGCCCTTTGCGAGGCATCTATAATGGAAGACTGATCTTTTCAGGAAGCAGCCTTTTGTGTGCCAACTTCAGTTTCTCCTTCACATATGTGCCCCAGCCCCAACCAGTCTCAGTCTTTTATAAGAAATACTTACAATTCAAGCCTAGCTTCTATGTTAACCCTCAATGGCAAGAAATTAAAAAGCTTAGAACTTGTAAAATTCCTAAGAACTGTAAAATATTTTGGGAAATACGTAGCCTAGCTTTACTTTCGTTTTATAATATGAAAACATCAGCCTGAATAAATGGAATGGCACCTGCCTCACATATTCCAAGATGCAGAGTCAGAATATGAACTGTTAGTATGATTCCTTTTCTTATTTTACCAGGATATAGTGGAGAAATAGTCACATTTTAAGGAAGTTAACATCAGTACATGGAACCTATTGTAAGAAGGAAAAAGAGTAGTCGTGGGCAGATCCAGGTGAAACTAGGCAGAAGGATGTGGTGCTAATACCTTGTGAGCTGGAACAATTGTTTTAATTGTGTAGTGTTTTCTACCAGTGTGTGGTGTAGATGAGCTCTATGAGCTTCTCACTGACAAATACTCATAAGTGGCCATTGATTAGTAACTGTTTTGCAAACAAATTAGTGGGAGTTTTTGGCCCACTAAAAGGAGAACTGCAAGAATGGCATATGTAAACCTAACCATGATGCCAGGGAAGAAAACAAGTGATAGCATGTTTTTCTGAGGTGAGAAGAAAAAACAGTTAATATTTATTGAGAATCTGCTTTGTGCTCTGAGAGATATTTTATAAGAAATTCTTTCCACAGGACAAGAGCAATCTGATTAATCAAGTAGCAATGCTAACATACACAAAGCAGTGGCATATAATACCAGTTAATTTATATTGGAATATTCATTGGTGGGATTTAGACTTCTTAGGGAGATGAGAAACTAGGAGGTGTGGTCAGTGAAAAGTAGCACTTAGCACAGCTTTTAGGAACAGTGACAATGATATTGGGGAAGACCATTCTAGGTAAAGAGGCTGAGTGGAAAAGTTTAATAGTATCATCTTTCAGTAGGAAGATGGCATTCTTTTTTTGAAGATGTAACTCTGGCTTTGATAACTTCATGAGTTATCAGCTATTATCATTTGTGTTTGAAATATTTTCATTTTGAAATGGTAGTTCATAAAAAATTCTCTAATCCGTTTTTCTTTTTCTTTTTTTTGTTAAACTAAAAAGATATTTATTTCCCTTTGAAGTTTTTATGCTTAGCATGCCAGGCTGCTCTTCTACAAATTGTAAATATACAGAGTTACAGGGACAGTAGAAGGCTTTTACATTTTGAACTGCAAGCAGACTGCCTTGTTAAAGGTAACGGGAACATCTCACATGCATGTGTTCCACAGAACTTGTTAGAAAGGCTGAAGGCTTGGACTGAGAGTTTGGGAAAGGTAGAAAAGAGAATTCATGGCAGAGAATTTCAGGAAGTAGAGTGTACACACACACAACACCTTGTTTCTCATCCAAATTCAGGATGGGCATATGAGGGAGGAATCCATAGATGCATTTGTTGGATAGAAATTGTGTTCTACAGTTGACGTGCTATCATGATGGAGAAGAGTCTGCCAAGTAAATTTTTAAAAACCCTTTTCCCTTAGTAACTGAACGAGGAAGGGATGCTGTTGGCTTCAGAGATCAAACAGCTGCCCCAAAGACTCCTAACAGGTCAAGAGAGAGAGACCCAGACAAGCAAACTCAAAATAAAGAGAAAAGGAAACGAAGGGGCTCTCTCTCACCACCTTCTTCTGCCTATGAGCGGGGAACAAAAAGGCCAGATGACAGGTAAGTGGCCTGTGTGAGTTACTCTCTTTTCTGAGCCAGTCAGAAAGTTCCCAAGTCAGTACTTCTGATTTGGGGCACCATGGGGTTTTGGAATAAGTATATTCTCTTGATAAATGAGTATAAAACTTCACTGATAAATATTGAGACAGTCTCTTTTGACAGTGAAGACTAGTGGATTTTCAGTACTTGAATGGTTTCTACTTGATAACATTTAAATGTTATTTGACGAGCCAGAGACTTGTTCTTTCAAGGGAGTGGAGGTGGGTGGGAGATAACTCTTCAGAGGTAATGATAAATCTTCTAAAGTCAGAACTTTTTTTTTAGTGAATCTTGTGCCTTACCAGTCAAAATGCTGGTTGATCTCTGTGTCGGAGGCTATCTTCCTCACGCTTGTAGAAAAACAAGCTGCATGATCGGTCACTGGGGACTAGAAAACATTTATTCCGGAGAAGGTCTTTTTAAATTAAATTTATTTGTTTGAAAAAATGAGATATAGCATTCATATAGTGTAATTGCCAAAATTTTAATTTTGGGTTGTCAGGGTTTATAATAGTAAATCCATCATGATTTTAATTTGCATTACCCTAATTACTAAACAGATTAAACATCTTGTCATACGTTTATTGGCCATTCCTGTTTCTTCTGTGAAGTGTCTTTTCATATGTGCTGTTCATTTACCTTTTTGAGTTTTAGGAATTTTTTTTTTTTTTTTTTAAGATTCTTTATACTCTAAATATAATTCTGCTTGGGTGATAATTTTTGCAAATATTTTTTTCCCAGTTTGTGGCTTGCATTTTGACTCTTTTGTGTCTTTTGATATACAGAATTTATTAATTATGGTGTAATTGAATATATCACACATATTGTATGTTTCCTTCATGGTCAGTGCTTTTACTGTGTTTTAAGAAATTCTTTCTGGGGCACCTGGGTGGCTCAGTCAGTTAAGCATCTGACTCTGGATTCAGCTGAGGTCATGATCTCACAGTTGGTGGGTTCAAGCCCCACGTCGGGCTCTATGCGGACAGCTCAGAACCTAGAGCCTGCTTCAGATTCTGTCTCTGTCTCTCTCTGCCCCTGCCCTGCTCATGCTCTATTTCTCTAGGTCTCAAAAATAAATAAATGAATAAACAAATAAAACAAAACAACAGATGGCTGTCAAGAAATTCTTCCTGGCGCACCTGGGTGGCTCAGTCAGTTAAGCATCTGACTCTGGATTCGGCTCAGGTCATGATCTCATGGTTTGTGGGAGCAAGCCCCACGTTGGGCTCCGCACTGACAGCACAGAGCCTACTTGGGATTCTCTCTCTCTGCCCCTCCCCTGCTTGCGCTCACACTCTGTCTGCCTGCCTGCCTGTCTCTCTCTCTCTCAAAATGAATAAATTTAAAAATTTTTTTAACTAAAAAAAAAATTTCTTCCCTACTCTTGAGGCAGTGATACTCTTTTCTTTCTTTCTTGTCCTTAATTTATTGGGAATTAATTTTTGTGTATGTTGTGAGGTAGGTTTATGGTTTCTTTTTTTTTCTAAGTGAATACCCAGTCTCTGTACCATTTACTTGAAAGCCCATCCTTTCTCCTTGATCTGCAGCACGCTCTCTCCAACAAGTTCTCATATGTGGGAGGATCTGGTTTGGGGCTCATAATGTGTCTGTAGCTCATATTAAGTCTTGATAGCAAGTAGGACAGGTCCCTCCTTGATCTTCTGGGATGTCATGTCTTTTCTCAGACTTGTTCTCCTTCAGATCTGCTTGTCAGATTCCCTTCACCCATCTCACCCAAAAGATGATTCTGAGAAGACTTGACATCTTTACAGTTTTAAGGAGTCCTATTCCTATATTCAAATTGAGTATTCAGATATTTTCTGTTTAATTAGGTCTTCTTTAATACTTTAAATAAAGATTAAGTTCTTCATTAATCTCCTGTTTACATTTTCTCTATAAAGACTTAACGTATCTTGGTATATTCTTTTCTGAAAACATTAACTTTTTTGTTACATTTTCAGTTTGTTGCTTGTGTTTAGATACCGCAGTTGACTTTTGTATATTGATCTCATGCTGGCAACCATACAAAACTCTCAATGATATTTCAAAGTGTAGGGGTTTTTGCCCTTTTTTTGGGTCTTTGCCAACAGTCCATATCCTATGAATTTGGTTTTTTTCCTTTCTAATCCTTTTGCTTTGTTCTTGTTATTTTACTAGCAACACATCCAATACAAATCACAGAATAACAGCATTTTTTATTTTGGTAATTGATTGCTATTCATGTTTTATTCCACTCTTTTGGACATATATATATATATATATACATACATACATACTAATTGGAGTAATTGGGATTCTTAGCTCCCTGATTTTCAGCATTTTTTGTCTTCAAATGAAAGTGTTTGAGGATTTTAATTTCTTCATAAGTACCATTGAACTACTCTTGTGATAGTATAGCTTTGTCATAATTTAGTTCTAAATACTATCAGGCTTTACAGTCTGTTTACATTTTTTTTTTTTTTTTAGTTTATTTTGAGAGAGAGAGAAAGAGAGAGAGAGAGAGAGAGAGAGAGAGAGAGAGAGAAAACAAGTGGGGAAGGGGAAGAGAGAGAGGGAGACACAGAACCCGAAGCAGTCTCCGGGCTCTGAGCTGCAGAGCTCGATGCAGAGCTTGAACCCGTGAACCACGAGATCATAATCTGAGCCAAAGTCAGATGCTTAACTGACTGAGCCACCAAGCACCCCCTTCTTTTGTTAAGTTTCAAATTTAATTGCCATTCATTGGTTTGTATTTTACCATTTCTAGAATTTTATTGAGACTGGCTGTATAGTCTGTTTTGTTTGATATTAATAGAAGTATGCTATCTTCCTATTGATAGGATTTAACTGAAATTTTTATTTCCTTTTTACTTTTAACTTTTCTGTGTCTCATACATAGTTTATACTGATTGATATTTTAATTCTTTGTGGTATTTAACTAGTTTCACTTTAATAAAATTAAATTTAATCCATATCCTAAACAACATAAGTACTTTAGGATACTTTAACTCTGATCATTCAGCCTTCCCAATTTATATGCCATTATTGTCCAATATTATAATTTCTTGTTCCTCCTCCTTCCCTGCCAGTTATTGTTAATTTTTTTATATGTACACAAATTGATTTATTTAGTTTGTTTTTTTTTTCTTCAACGTTTATTTATTTTTGGGACAGAGAGAGACAGAGCATGAACGGGGGAGGGGCAGAGAGAGAGGGAGACACAGAATCGGAAACAGGCTCCAGGCTCTGAGCCATCATTCCCGAGCCCGACGCGGGGCTCGAACTCACGGACCGTGAGATCGTGACCTGGCCGAAGTCGGACGCTTAACCGACTGCGCCACCCAGGCGCCCCTTATTTAGTTTGTTTACATTAATTAGGGTTTTTTTGTTCTCCTTTCTTTTTCCTTAGACCTTCCTTTAAAAGATTTCCTTTAGGGGACCCTGGGTGGCTCAGTTGGTTAAGCGTCCAACTCTTGATTTGAGTTGAGATTGAGCCTCGTGTTGGGCTCTGCACTGGGCACTGAGCCTACTTGAGATTCCGTCTCTCCTCTCCCTCTGCTCTTCCCCAGCTTGTGCTCTTTCTCACTCTTTCTGGCTCTTTCTCACTCAAACAACAACAACAACAACAACAACAACAAAAGATTTCCTTGATGAGTTTTTGTTCATACTGTGTTTCAATTTTGTCTGAAAAATCTTTTTGGTTTTCATTGCTCACCCTCAGTTTTAAAAATCAGTTTTATTTAATCAGTAGATAAAAATTACTTACAGAAATATTCAGTTTTAAGTGTATAATTCAAAGTGTTTTGTCAAACGCATGCAGTTAAGTAACCACCACTACAGTCATGGTATAGACACTTCTGTCATCTCAGAAAATTTTCTTGAGCTCTTTGGAGTCAGTCCCCTTTGCCTACCCCTAGTTGCTGGCAGCCATTGCTCTGCTTTCTGATGCTCTGTTTTTGTCTTTTCCAGAATGTGATACATATAGTATCATAGTCTAGATAGTATTTGAATCTGTCTTTCACTTAGCAGATTGCATTTGAAATCCATTCATGTTGTTATGTCTCAGTAGTTCCTTTTATTGATGAGTGGGTAGTCTATTGGATAGGTACAACATAGCTTGTTTACAAATTCATTAGTTGATAGGCATTTGGATTGTTTCCAGATGGCTGTTAAGAATATTACCAGACTAGGGGGTGCCTGGGTGGCCTAGTCCGTTAAGCGTCTGACTTCGGCTCAGGTCGTTGATCTCACAGTTCGTGAGTTCAAGCCCCGCGTCAGGCTCTGTGCTGTCCTCTCAGAGCCTGAAGCCTGCTTCAGATTCTGTGTCTCCCGCCGCTCTCTGCTCCTCCCCTGCTCACGCTCTGTGTCTGTCTCTCAATAATAAATAAACGTTAAAAAAAAAAAAAGAATATTAGAAGATTTGTATATGTATGAGTCTTTATGTGAACATTGACTCTCATTTTTAAAAGGAAGTTTTGCTTAGATAACAAGTTTTTCTCGACACTTTGAAACTGTTATTCTTCAGTCTTCTAACTTCCCTTGTTGTTAATGAAACTTTATTGGTCTAATTGTTGTTCTTTAAGTAATCTGGCTTTTCTCTTGGTCTGCTTTTACGAGTCCTCTTTGTGTTTGGTGTTCTGCAGTATCACTACCCTCTGTTTAGGGTTTCTTTTTATTTTAACTGGTTGAAATTCATTTAACTTTTTGAATTTGAAGATCATCTTCCACATTACTAATTCTCTTCAGATCTGATCTCTTAACCATACCATGGCATGGATCTTAGGGACATTGGATTGAATGTTGGATTATTTCTTGGTTAATGACACATTTCTGTGCATAGACTTCTTCTCCATATATTATAATGCTTTTGTGCTGTGATCTTAACCACTGTATAAATCTGGCTAAGCCATTTCTTCCTATACTGTCCCTTGCCTTTACTGCTTGAGATGATATCATCTTGCATCCTGTGTTCATTATACCCTGGCTTTCCTTTTTTAAAATACAGTTTTATGTTGTCTAATACATGTTTTTAAATAATATGTTGGTTTTTAACTTTATGAAAAGGCTGCCATTCTGCATTTAATTTGGGGGTATTTTGTTTTCACCTGATAGTGTATTGCTAAGATTTACCCATAATTGCATGTGTCAGTTTATTCATTTTCACTGCTTTGTGTAACATTTTGTTGTAAAGCTTCTTCAGTTATGTATAGTGCTATTACCTAATTTTGATGTACATGTGCAGTAGTGTCTCTTGGGTAAATGACCAGACTTGTCAGATTGTCAGGTATGTGCATGCTCAATTTCATATGATAATTGAGTTTTAATTTCCACTCTGTTTCATTTCTAGATGTTTCATGGAGTTCTTTTTCAAATCTGCCTGATAGTTTTTTATGTTCCTATTCCTTAGTGATATTTTTGATTGCCTCTTTGATATTCATTAAACATACTAAATGTCTCTTCAGTTTGTATTGGATCATTCCAGTACTAGTAGTTTTTGTGGGTCTTGTCCTCTCGTTTGTTTATATATATACGTGTATAATTTTGTAATTATATAAAATAATGATTTTATTTTCTAATGAACTCATCATGTTCCTTAGAATTTGATCTGTGGGATTTCACTGAGGCCTGGGCTTAAGGTGCTTTGTTCTGTAGACTAATTTGCATTTGTTTCTGCCCAGCAACTAAGGATACTACCATACCATTAACATTTTAAAGGAAATTGTCAGTATGGAGGTTTTAGACCATTTGTTTTTTTGTTGTTTGGATAAATGGTATGCCCTTGTCCATGAAGATGTTCTTAGATGTTTCTGTGCAGTGAAACCTCTTGAAGTTAGTTGTCAGTTTTTAATTTTTGCCAAGAGCACTTTCTCATAAGTTTGATTCACTCCATAAACCTTGGCAGCAGAATCTTTTAAGCCCTCTGTTTTTTTCTTTTGAATGTTAGAGCTGATGGTTTCCAGTGGGCCTTGTCAGAACCAGCACAGGGCATTAAGCTCAGCAGTAAGACATTATCCTTGATCCTGCACAGAGAAGAGTATGTGAATAGAGCTCCCCATATTTTTATGTGTGCATTATCATCTTTCATTCAACTATCCTTTGTTGATATTTATCATTAATGTATGTGGTCAGACGTACATCAAACTCTGTAGCTCTTACTAGTGTACTTTGTTTTAATGTCTAAATTTGTAGATCCAGAAGTGTCCCCAACTGTAAAGAAGAATCTGTTTAGAATATTATATGTATCTTTAATTTGATGTTCTAGAACCTGAGAATAAAAGTAAAGTTATTATTTTCATCTAAATGATTCTTTGGGATTCTCTACTATCTGCAAGACTCCTTAAGTAATTTTGACTGATTTTTAACCAATGCCAAATTGGAGTTGGTGTGGTTAATGGTTGAGTCTTGAGGGACATAACATTTATTAGTGCTTTGATTATGCCCTTGATTTAGGGAAAAAAGTTTGTGATGCTCTTACTATTTTCTTTCTAGATACGATACACCAACTTCTAAGAAGAAAGTACGAATTAAAGACCGCAATAAACTTTCTACAGAGGAGCGCCGGAAGTTGTTTGAGCAAGAGGTGGCTCAGCGGGAGGCTCAGAAACAACAGCAGCAGATGCAGAACCTGGGAATGACATCTCCACTGCCCTATGACTCTCTGGGCTACAATGCCCCTCATCACCCCTTTGCTGGCTACCCACCAGGTTATCCCATGCAGGCCTATGTGGATCCCAGCAACCCTAATGCTGGAAAGGTGCTCCTCCCCACACCTAGCATGGACCCCGTGTGTTCTCCTGCTCCTTATGATCATTCTCAGCCCTTGGTGGGACATTCTACAGAACCCCTTGTTGCCCCTCCACCTGTACCAGTGGTGCCACATGTGGCAGCCCCTGTGGAAGTTTCCAGTTCACAGTATGTGGCCCAAAGTGATGGTGTGGTACACCAAGACTCCAGCGTCACCGTCTTGCCAGTGCCAGCCCCAGGCCCAGTTCAGGGACAGAATTATGGTGTTTGGGATTCAAACCAACAGTCTGTCAGTGTCCCCCAGCAGTATTCTCCTGCACAGTCTCAAGCAACCATATATTATCAAGGACAGACTTGTCCAGCTGTCTATGGTGTGACATCACCCTATTCACAGACAACTCCACCAATTGTGCAGGTAACTAATTTTGGAACCTCTCTTGTCTTACAGTCTGTTTATAGGATATTAAATCTGTTGTGAAGGGGAAACCTGCCATTGCTCACTTATATATTGATGAATTGTGTATATATTAGTTACTTATTGTTGTGTGACAAGTTACTCCGAAACTTAGCAGCTTTTGAGACAACTAGTAATTATTATTTCTTAGTTTTTGTAGGGCAGGAATTCAGAAGCAGCTTGACTGGCTGGGTGGTTCAGGCTCAGAGTCTTTCATTAAATTACATACAGCCTGGCTGTTAACCAAGGTTGTAGTCATCGAAGGTTAGGAAGAGGAAGGAAGATTGACTTTCAAGCTCACTCACGTGGTTGTTAACTGGCCTCGGTTTCTTACCATCACATGAACCTCTTAATAGGGCTGCTTACCACATTCCAGCTGACTTCCCGCAAAGTCAAGTAGTCAGGGAGAGACTTACGGGTTACTCCTCTCCTTTTTGCTTATAGACAGTGAATAATATACAGTTTATTCTTTTATATGCTCACAAACGGAAAACCCTCTGGTCATGGTAATTGAGTCAGGAGGTGGCTTGCCCTTTTCTTAGACCCAGCTTGTGTACTATTTTATATCCCCTACATTTTATTGTCATGAAGTTTGCCAGAGTGAACCTAAGGATATTTACTATGGTAGTAAATATAATGTTAAATTTAAAAGCTGAGTATACTGAATTTGTATTTCAAGGTGTATTTTTATGTTTTTTAATCAAGCTTCTTTTCTATAGAACCCAGCAATACATTTTAAGCTTAAACAAAAAATATATCTAAAGCATCATCCTCACCACATTCTGATGTCCGTCACATCACTCCATATCGCTCCTTAAAGGTGAATTATCGTGGATGAGAGAGACTGTCAGGGATACTTCCTGCACACATTACCTAGTACTGGTCAGTTACTTCTGTTAGTATTTTTGTGATGAAGCTGCATCAAAATTTAGTTTGTAAGGCCATGGCAAAGTATCCAGCTTGAATTCCTAAAATCTTAAGTATACTAACTACATTCATTTTGTATGATCTCTTGAGCCACATGCTTATATCTATATTTTATGTATTTGTAATTTTGAAGACTTGAAACTTTTTCCCATGGGTTTCTACTTAACATGATTCTTAACCATTTTTCCAAATTACTTTGTATCTGTGTGTGTGTGTGTGTGTGTGTGTTTTAAGTATCTTAAACAGATTTCTTAGGTTCTAACTTCTGCTGTCTTGCCACATTCTTTCTTGGACCAAACCATTTATTTTGAGTTTTTTCCCTGAGAATGTGTATCAGATATAAGAAACATGGTCTACTTCTCTCCCATTTCTATTCCTGAAGTATGTTCTTAACCTAGGTTTCAGAACCTAAGCAATAGCAGTGGAAGATATTTATTGAAGACTCTCCAGGAGAGATTTCACTGGTCATTTGGCCATTCTTATAAAAAGTAATCTATTTTTTCTATCCCATGGAGCAAAAGATTTTCTGTAAGTTTTAGTCATAGCCTTAAGACTCAAGCATCACAATTTTGCTTGCTTACAGTTTTCCATTTTGTTCCTACCAAGGAGTCATTTGTTGGCTCCCTAATCTATTTTGTGTGTATTAGGTGGCAGATGAATGGACTCAGATAGTCCAAATTGTCCTTTACTTCTCTGTGAGATTAGTTATCAGAGATGATGTTGGGCTTTAGGTTATGAGAAATGTAGAGCATTTTGTTATTGTTTATGTGTTTTGAGTCCCTGTCCATCATTTAATGTGTGTCTTGGGGACAGGTGCTTAGCTTATATTCTTCAGTTAAAGTTTTTTTTTTTTTTTTTAATGTTCATTTTTGAGAGAGAGCATGAGCGAGAGAGGGGCAGAGAGAGAGGGGGACAGAGGATCCGAGGTGGGCCCTGCACTGACAGCAGAGAGCCCAATGTGGGGCTCAAACTCACAAACCATGAGATCATGACCTGAGCTGAAGTCAGATGCTCGATTGACTGAGCCACCCAGGTGCCACTTCAGTTTTAGTTTTCTTATCTATGAGATGAGCAGAATGCCTCAGCATGGTTGAGGTTTGCATGAGATAATGGATATTAATAGTGACAGAATTAAAGCACCATTTACCTTGAAGGTTTAATTATAGTTACCTTAATGATGTCGACAGAGTATTGACATTTGTGGAGTGTGAAATGCTCCTAGTCAAAGTCATCTATCTGATATCTGGTCTAACCTCCAGTAGAAGGAGACCTTGAGGTCTGTGGTGTTCAAGTGTAGTATTGACCATACCATCATGGGCTACTAAGAATTTGCAAGATATGATAACTTTGACAGTGAAGTAGTATGTGATGTGGTATGATATAAATTTGTGTGTGTATGTGTACACATATGCAGTATCTTTCACATTTGGAGCAGATATGTTATCAGAAGGTGACTTTCATTTTTTGCCACAATTGCTTATCAAATGTAAAAACTCAACTTCAGCTGAGGCCACCTGATTTGTAGTGGTTTTGTGACATTACTAAGTGACCTATTCTTACAAAGTTATACTAAATCACATCTCAAAAAATTGAGTCCTAAGACTATAATTTTCACATTATAAAGTGAAGTGACTCAGATATAAAGTATTAGTGATTTTTTTTTTCCCCTCTAGAAGTAGGGGCAGAATAATTATGTTTTCTATAACATTTTGGATCTCCTTAGATTTCTAATTCCCATTAGAAGTCCCATTTTAAAGCTATTTCTAGACTGTATTTATGTTTGAGAAATTAGCTTTCATGTAATTTCAGGTCTCTTGAAGGGGAGAGCCAATCTCCTACAGATTTCCCCCCAGCAAAAGAGAGACTTGATAGGCATATGCTATTTAGATACATCTCACAAGTATGTATATCTTCCATACTAACTTCAGTGGAATTGCAAGTCAGTTTCCCTTTTTTATTACTATTGTTAGTTTTGGCATTGCCATGTGATTATCAGCTGGTTTGGATAGATAATTTAATAGAACCCTGAAGAATGTTCATTTTCTTTCTTTCTTTCTTTCTTTCTTTCTTCCTTCCTTTCTTTCTTCTTTCTTTTTTTTTTCTTTTTTTTTTTTTTTTTAAGCTTATTTATTTTGAGAGGTGGAGGTCAGGGGCAGAGAGAGAGAGGAAGAGGGAGAATCCCAAGCAGGCTCCGTGTTTGACAGCACAGAGCCAGCATGGGGCCTGATCCCACAAACCGTGAGATTATGACCTGAGCCAAAATCAAGAGTCAGACGCTCAACTGACTGAGTCACCCAGGTGCCCCGTTTTCTTTCTTTTTGACAGTCTGAGTTTTAAACACTGTACCTCTGGGGTGCCTGGGTGGCGCAGTCGGTTAAGCGTCCGACTTCAGCCAGGTCACGATCTCGCGGTCATCCGTGAGTTCGAGCCCCGTGTCAGGCTCTGGGCTGATGGCTCAAAGCCTGGAGCCTGTTTCCGATTCTCTGTCTCCCTCTCTCTCTGCCCCTCCCCCGTTCATGCTCTGTCTCTCTCTGTCCCAAAAATAAATAAACGTTGAAAAAAAAAATTAAAAAAAAAAAATAAACACTGTACCTCTAAATGATTACTGCTATCTTGGGTGACTTTTTTTTTTGTTTTTAGTCCAGCAAGGCTGATGTTGTTCAGATATTTTTGGCATTTCCTTTGGAAGTTATTTCCAGTATGTGTCACATTCCTTCCTGATGATAAATTATTATCCTTTAAATATATCTTTGCATGTTAGAAACAGGTGAAATTTGTCTGGAAATTTCTCATCTGGTAAATTACCTCATCTGGTAAATAGAGGGCTCAAGCTGGATAATGCCATTTCAGGTCAGAAGTTACCTCACAGCCAGCATTTGGAGCCAGAGTCTTCATTTCAAGGAGACTATAGCTTTAAAACTCCAGTCATCAAATCCTTTAGATGAGCCTTACTTATTATCTCTGATCTTGTCAAATTCTCCATGCACAAAGTTTAACTGAGAGTCAAAAGAATTTTTAGCCTCCAAAATATTAGCATCTTTCTGTTGTAGATTTGGGTGCTTAATCTCCTGATCACTATGGAGATAACATGTTTATCAGTTTACTGTCTTCTTCAGCCTCCCAGAAACTGTTTTTACTCAATCAGATATACCAGCACATTTATATTAACTCCCTACATGCACAATAACTTGCCTGTTGTATCCACTCTTCAGGATGCTTCCTTCGGGCATCAGGGCCATTACAGATTCACTTTCCAGATCATACACTAGATCATAGACTAGACCCCAGTTAGATATGTTTTGTTTTATAGCTTATTTTTAGCAAAGTTGAAATTGAACGTTATAAGAATTATTTATACTTCACCTCTGAGATTATACTTTTAAATTTCTTTTTTTTTTAATTTTTTAAATGTTTATTTTTGAAAGAGAGAGACAGAGAATGAACGGAGGAGGGGCAGAGAGATAGGGAGACATGGTATCCGAAGCAGGCTGCAGGCTCCCAGCTGTCAGCACAGAGCCTGACGTCATGAACCATGAGATCATGACCTAAGCCAAAGTTGGACTCTCAACTGACTGAGGCACCTAGGGGCCCCATTTTTAAATTTCTTAAACACTATTTTACCATCTTTTTTGCTAATATCTCTTTTTGTACTGACCTCTTATTCAGTATTGTCTGGGTGTAGATGCATCAGTGTTAAAAAGCCTTTTGGGTTCAACCACATTTCAGTCTTTGAAACTGGAATTAGGTGGGGAAGTAAAATTTGTTTCTACAAAATCTTTGATGTTGCACAGATTTCCCATCTTATATCCAAATACCTAGAGATGAAAGCATTTCTATTTTGTGATAGTATTCTGATAATAATTCTGCTTTGACCATTGAGTGTGGGTTTTTGTTCTGTGTAGATTAAGCTGTTCCAGAATAATGAATCAAGTACTCTTGACCTTTGTACTATGTAGGGGTTAAGAGTGCCAAACCTCTCTCCTCAGTCAAAAATCTGCATATGACTTTTAACTCCCCCAAAACTTCACTACTGTTACCTTACCAATAACATAAGCAGTTGATGAACCGATATTTTGTATGCTACATGTTTTATATTCTGTATTCTTAAAATAAAGTCAGCTAGAGAAAAAGAACATTAAGAAAATCATAAGGAAAATACATTTACAGTACTATACTGTAGAAAATCTGTTATAAGTGGCCCTGTGTAGTTCAAATCCACATGTTCAAGGGTCAGCTGGGTTGTATTCTTCCTCTTTTTCTCTGTGCCCTCTTGGTACTTATCCAGAAATCTCTTTGGTAGTTCCATTGGCCTAATCGGACTCTTTGGGTCTTTACTGGTATCATTTGGAATGATTGTATTTTATATTTTGAGCACTTACCAGTTAATACTTCTGAAATTATTTTATGTGGTGGAATCTCAGTCCCTAGGATCAAAATCTGTCCTCAAGTACAGGCTGCATCTATCTCTGTTCACCTCCTTGGTAGTCATCACCTCTTGAGACAACAGGGTTGTGTTTCAGGGCTTGTTGTCACCTCTTCTTTAAGAGTGTTTCTAGTGCTGAGAACTAATTCCAGAGTAAGTTTAAGTCCTAGCCATGGTCCTTAATTGCTTATGTGACTCCAGGCGGGGGAGATCCTCACCTCTGATGGTAGTCAGGACTAAATGAGATTATATACGTGAAAGGGCTTTCTAAGCTTCATGAGGCACTGTATAAATCAGTGTGTGGTAAGAATTTTATCTAGAATGAATTCTGCTGTCTTTCTCAGACAGAGAGACCCTCCTTCCTCTCAGAGGGAGTTGTAATTAGATCACTGTGTTACTTCCTCTGCTATGAATCACTCACTCTCTTTGACCTTTTCCAGTCAGAACAACCTGTTAGTTTTTAGGAGTTGGTAGTAAAAAGGCTTTCTGAAAAGAGCCCTGTGGAGCTGTCTTGGATGTACTAGGTGCGGCACTTCAGTTGTTATTACTGTGGTCTCCCTGGAGGCTAAAGAGTTGGACAGCTCTTAGGAGCCTCCCCACCTCCCCCCAGCCTTTTCTGTTTTTTTGTTTTTTGTATTTTAATGGGAAAACCAAAGTAAGTAAATGACTAGGGAATTACTAAAAAAAGAAACTTCTGTGTTTGAAATAAAGGATTGTTTTACACATTTGTATCGAAATACTCTTTACTAAAAGTTGAAATTCATGGATTCCAATAAGAGAATGCCAACTGAGAAGACAGTTACTGCTTTATTAGAGCCAGAAGAGTATAAATTATGAATTTCTTCATTTTATCTTTAGAGTTATGCCCAACCAAGTCTTCAGTACATCCAAGGACAGCAGATTTTCACAGCTCATCCGCAAGGTGTGGTCGTACAGCCAGCTGCAGCCGTGACTGCGATAGTCACACCAGGGCAGCCTCAGCCCTTACAGCCGGTAAGAAACCCTTCAGGTGATAAAATACTCCTTAGTTGTGTACCTTATCTTTAGAAGGTCTGCTTTTGGTTTAGGTTTTTATTTTTGTTTCTTTCACTTGGTTTTGTTTTTTTTTTTTTTCTTTAACTTTGGTCCCCAATTTCACTCAAGGGCTTGCGTCTCTGAGGAAGCATTACTCAATCATTAAAAAAAAAAGTTCTCTGGATTTTACCCCTATGTTGATTGATACATATTTTGCTTCCGATATCCTTTTTATTTATAATTTAAACCGACTTTGTATTTTTATACTTTGCTATGAATTGCTAAAGTAACAATTTTATAGAGTAGCTATTTGTATTTTATGAAGTACTGGAATATGATACTATATCAGACCCGTGGACTAGGAGTACAGAAGTGAACTACTTCACTGTACATGCTGTACAATATGTAGTAAGAGAAACGTTTGGTATTCTGTAACATATGGAGAAGAATGTGGTGAAATCTTGATGAAGTGGGAAATGGCTGGCATTGGAAGCCGTTGAAAAGCTGAACAGAATAACTTGATCACGTTAGCACTTTGGAGTTGCGACAGCTCCAGAGAAGGTTCCTGCAGCAGTCCGGTGAGTGATGGCGGCTTTAGACAGGTAGTACAGTTAGTGGGGATGGAGTATAAAGACTACATGTGGAACAGTTGGGAGATAAGACAGTGTGCTCTTACAGCAGGTATTTGAGGGCTTGCTAGGAGTTGGGCCCTAGGAATTTTGAATACAAACCTAAGACTCCATTCCTATCCTTAGAAGCTGACATTCCAATAAGAGAGTTGAGGATCACAATGAATAATACTAAAAGTAGAGATTAGTGTCACATAAGGTGCAGATAGTTTGAGGAGGGAAAGAATCATTCCCAAGTGTGGGAAGGATTAGTAATAAGTTTTGAATGATTCGAAGTATTCTTAGGTGACACAGAAGCTTAGGACAAAGAGGTCACTTTATAGGCTGGAAGGAGGACTACAGGTAGAACTGAAGCAGGACACCAAAAAAAGCAGCTACATGAAGTAGGATTAGTGGTATGCATAAAACAGTGATGCTCAAAGACCTGTGTTTGCTTAAAAGTGGTCCCGTTTTATCTGAGCCTGGGATCTCCGGTTCCTCTTTGACTGCTTAACCAGAGGTAAAACTGGAAAAAGTATTCTATATTAATTGGCTTACACAGAATGAGAATTAAGGGCATATATTCTTATAGTAATTTATTATTAGTCTGCTAGATCTATTATAACAAGATACCACCAACCAAGAGGTTTAACAGAAATTGATTTTCTCACTGCTCTAGAGTCTGGAAGTCTATACCATCAAGGTGTTGGTGAGGTTTGGTTCTAAGGCTTCTCCTTGCCTTGCACATGGCTGCCGTCTCCCTATATATTTACGTTCCCTAATGTGTCTTTTCCTCTTATGAGGAAACTACCCTTTTGACCTCATTTAATCTTCATTGCCTCTTTAAAGGCCCTATCTCCAAATATAGTCACGTTGGGAGTTAGAGCTCCAACATAGGAATTTGGGGGATACAGTTCAGTCCCTAGACAGGGATTGTGAGGTTTTCATGTTTTTCAAAATGTGACGTTAAATTTTTATAAATATGCAGTTTAAAACGTACAGAAAAATAGATAAGGGTTAAGTGGTAACATTCTGTCATACTGCCTTTCAGCTTTTTTCTTTAAAAAAGATACATCTAAAGCTAATTCAGCTAATCAGGATCCAGAAGTTGGTATATGCCACTTAGCATTGTTTTGTTTTTAATTTTTTACATGTTTGTTTATTTTTGTTTTTAATTTTTTTTAATGTTTTTATTAATTTTGAGGCAGAGAGACAGAGCATGAGCAGGGGGGGACAGAGAGAGAAGGAGACACAGAATCTGAAGCAGGCTCCAGGCTCTGAGCTGTCAGCACAGAGCCCGACGTGGGGCTCGAACTCACATACCGCAAGATCATGACCTGAGCTGAAGTCGGATGCTTAACTGACTGAGCCACCCAGGCGCCCCTGTTTATTTTTGAAAGATACAGACCTTGAGCAGGGAGGGGCAAAGAAAGAGGGGGAGACACAGAATCCAAAGCAGACTCCAGGCTCTGAGCTGTTAGCACAGAGCCCGACATGGGGCTCAAATTCACAAACCGCAAGATCATGACCTGAGCTGAAGTTGGACACTTAACTGACTGAGCCACCCAGGCGCTCCTAGCATTTTCTATTTTATTCTTTTTCTTAAGGTTGAAAGATACTGCTCTGGATAGTGAGCTGCTGAATATTTTTAAATGTGGTATGTTGGATGGTGAACTTGGAGCCAACTGTCAATTTTCTGATAGATCCCTAAAGCTGTTTATATACTCTGTCTCTGATCATTTCCCAGATTGAACCTTTTTTTATCTTTTTTTTAAAAGATAGAGATAGAGGTATGTTTTTACATATTGCTTAAGTAGGCTACTTTGTCCTTTTTGAGATGTCACTGATGAAGAGTCTGTGTGTGTGTTTCTTTTTAGCCTGAAATGGTAGTGACAAATAATCTTCTGGATCTGCCACCCCCCTCTCCTCCCAAACCAAAAACCATTGTCTTACCTCCCAACTGGAAGACAGCCCGAGATCCAGAAGGGAAGATTTATTACTACCACGTGATCACAAGGTAAGAAAGGCTGTGTGGGCATCCCCAAATCAGTTTCAGTTGGTCAAAGAAGCTGCCATCATAAGGGGAGATTTATGATTATTGGCTTCATGTCATTGGCTGGTGTTCACTATGCTTGAGGGCTGCTAGATTTCCAGAATCACGTCTTAAATGTTATGTTATGCCTTTTTAGATAGATAAATTTTGATATATTTTTAATCTACAAGACTTTTGCGGAAAATTAAAGAGTTTGTAAAAATAAATAAATAAATAAATAAAAAGATAATGACTTGATCTAACGTTGTGGGTTTTGAGGGTCCTGGGCAAACCTTTTCTGTAAAAGGTCAAATGATGTTTTAGGCTTTGCCAGCCAAACACAATTACTTAGTTCTGCCATTGTTGTGCAAACAGCCATAGACCATACATAATGAATGGTCATGTCTGCCCAATAAAATTTCATTTACAAAAATAGGCAATAGGTCAGTTTTGGTCCGTGAGCCATAGTTTGGTGACCCTTGCTGTTTATAGAAAGCTCAATTTATCTTTTTCTTAGAAGTTTAAAAAATATATATGTCTTTTAGACAAAAGATAGCTTTATGTGAATATATGTAATTTCTGTGTGTGTGTGTGTGTGTGTGTGTGTGTGTGTGTGTGTGTACACACTCATTGGTATATAATCTTATGTGAGTTGTTGGGATACGTCTTTTATAATCTTTCTACCAATCTGTATAGAACGTTATCAATTAATATAGAACTACACTGTTTTTAGTGCATGCTTATACTTTGAGGGATCAGCAAACTATGCCCATAGGCCACTGGTATTTGCAAATGAAGTTTTGGGGGGAACACAGCCACTCCCATTTATTTAGGAGTTGTTTATGGCTGCTTTCACAATATAGTGGCAGAGTAGAATAGTTGTGGCAGAGACCATGTGACCCACAAAGTCAAAAATATTTACTCTGTGATCATTTATAGAAAAAAAGTTTGCCAACTCCTGTTCTTTTGTATGGCTATATAAAATTTTATTTAACCCACCCTAATTGATGGATTTTCACGATTTTATATATAACTCTAACCCTGGACATCCTTGTAGATACTAATCTTACCTTCTTTGGGTAGATTTCTAGAGGTAGAATTGTCAGTCAAAAAGATAGACATTTTAAATTGATAATTATTGTCAGCTTACCATGAAAAAACTGTACCATTGTAGACTCCCACAAAAAGTGTACAATAGTGCCTTTTTCTTCACGTAATTTCTTTTAATCTTGTAAGTGTAATTGGTGAGACATCTTATTTTCATTTCCAGTTCTTTTATTATTGAACCATCTTTATTGTTGGCCGTTTACATCTTTTGTGATTTGCTTGTTTGGGGCATGTACCCATTTTCTGTCATTATTATTAGATCCCTTTATCAAGGTTATTGCAAATGTTTTTGTTTGTAATGTCTTACAAGTTTAAAAAATTTCATACAAATATTTTCTTTTATGGTTTTTCAAGTGCGTCTAACGTTTCTGACAGAAGTTTGGTGTGGTAGGAAAGCACAAGACTGCAAAGGCAGGATTGACCCACCAGATACGTTGCTAGTTCTCTGAGGCTTTTGCCATTTTAAGGGATTCTCCTTATAGCATTCCCTGTGACAGCTGACTTCAGACTCCTGAATTGAATTTCCTTACTTCCAGGTGTTACCTCACAGATCTAGCTGTAAAAAAAAAACAAAACAAAAAACTACAATGCTTTCTTATTTGCAAAACAACTATAGCATGCAATGAATGAGTTAACATGGTAGAACCCTTCTTCTTGCAGTCAGTTGAGAATATTTGGGACCAAGGGCATAAGTTTTTGACTTGAAGTCTTTTCCATGCTATGAGTCATTGTGCAAAGGGGCACAACCACAGACAAGAAGGCTCCCAAAGCAAGGAACCATTTTCTCATGTGACCAAGGATTGTTAGGAGTGTGTTGTGATTTATTTTATTTGCTCCAAGTACATGCTGGGTACAGTTGCTGTTGATCTCTTCACCTGCAGAGGGGAGGTATAGGCAAGCACTGACTCCATGTACTTTTTAGGTTTTGCTGAATCCTATTTTCAGAACATTAAGAGCCAAGTGAGAAACAGACAGGATGTTCTGGTTTTACTACTCTCTTTGACAAGGCAAACATCGCCACCTCACTGGCTAGAGAAATACAGTGGGCTAAACAATGTATGTCTGTGGGATAGAATCACTGCTGCTGGGAAGATAGCAAAAGAATGTTTCTATCTTATGAAGCAGACTTCCTCTATGTCTCATTACAAATGGTGTATTTTATGTGTATATGAGCAGAGATGCCTGTGCCAGAGTTCTCTGTTTTCTGGCCACGATAGCATGGCTGTTCTTACCTTCTTCTAGGCAGACTCAGTGGGATCCTCCTACTTGGGAAAGCCCAGGAGATGATGCCAGCCTTGAGCATGAAGCTGAGATGGACCTGGGGACCCCAACGTATGATGAAAACCCCATGAAGGTGAGTATGGCTTACACATGTTTCCGGATCATCTGGGAGTCTGTATCCTGTCATCTTGCTGGACCAATAGCCATGTGGTCTTGTGATTCTATTTTCCTTATTGTTCTGGAGAATTAACACATGTAGTAAATGCTTGAGAGGCCTAGGACATCCAAACAGTACAGCAGTATGGTATGTAAAGCAAAAAATACAAGCCCTTAATTTCTTTCCAGCTGCTCTCCTATCATCCCTTTCTGGAGATAAATACTGTTAACTAGTACAGGAGTTCTCAAACCTGGAGTAATTTTGCTCCCTCAAGGACATTTGATAATATTTAGAGACAGTTTTGGTTGTTAAAACTGAAGGAATGCTATAGACAAGGGAAGTCACCAAACATCTTACAATGCACAGGACAGTCCCCCACAACAAAGAACTGGCCCAAAATGTTAATAATGCCAAGGTTGTGAAACTTTACTTTGGTGTGTGTTCTTCCAGACCCTTCTGGGAAATGTACACACACAAGTGTTTTTCTTTCTTTTCATTTTATTTGTTTGTTTGCTTGTTTGTTTTTAAAAGTTTATTTATTTTGAGAGAGAGTGAGCGCATGAGCAGGGGAGGGACAGAGAGAGCGAGAGAGAGGATCCCAAGCAGGCTCCGTGTGTCAGCGCAGACATCCATCGGGCTCATTCCCACATGCCGTGAGAACATGACCTAAGCGGAAATTTAAAGAGTCAGACGCTTGGGGCGCCTGGGTGGCTCAGTTGGTTGGGCATCTGACTTCGGCTCAGGTCATGATCTCGCAGTTGGTGGGTTTAAGCCCTGCGTCGGGCTCTGTGCTGACAGCTCAGAGCCTGGAGCCTGCTTCAAATTCTGTGTCTCTTCCTCTGTCTGCCCCTCCCATGCTCATGCTCTGTCTTGCTCTGTCTCTCAATAGTAAAATAAACATTAAAATATTTTTTTTAAAAAAAGAGTCAGGCACTTAGCTGACTGGTTAAGCCCAGGTGCTCCTTACTTTTCATTTTAAACACACAAATAGAATCATAGTATTTATATTCTATTGTAACTTCCTTTAGTATTTCTTAGCAATTTGGGGTACCTGGCTGGGTCAGTTGGAGCATGCAACTCTCGATCTTGGGGTTGTGAGTTTGAGCCCCGTGTTAAGTGTAGAGATTACTTAAAAATAAAACCTTAAAAAGTATGTCTTAGCTCTTTCCTTGTAGATCTGCTGCATCCTTTTTTGATGCACTGTGTCTCATTTTTTAAAATGTTTTAGCTCATTGACTGAAATTTTACAGAGATGGTGTGTTTCAATGTCCTGCCATTTTGGGATTCATAGTTCTGGGAAAAAGTTAACTGTTTACAACCTCACCAAAGGAGTATCCTCCACCACCTCCCCCCAACACACACACTTTTTTTTTTTTTTTTTAAGATTTGGGACAAATATTTTACTATGGAAATATTATTTTAGAAACAAGGCAAAAAAGAGCTTATCCCTGATCTCTCCCTCTGACAAAACAGTAATTAGGATTAGAGGTCAAGTAAATGAAATACACAGTGACTGAATTAGAACCATTTTTATCCCTGTCTGCTTATAATAAGACCCACTATCTCCTGGAGTAAGGTGTCTTCAGTGAAATCAAAGACCATATTTCTGTGTCCTAAGATCTGAATAGTATTCAAAAAATTTTTTTAATGAGAAGAGGCACTTAACTAGTTAAGTCAGTGGAGAGGTAGGAGAGAGGGAAGAGGGCAAAAAGGAAGGAGGTTGGAGTGAAAGAATCAAAGTGGAAACAATGTACTTTCTGTCATTTTATTCACTTGGGGGAAGCATTTTCCTTCCTTCAGCATATATTTGCCATTCTCCAAAAAACCAAGCATTTCAGTTAAGTCCACGTGGAGCCTGCTAAATTTCGAATGAATCACTGGAGTCACTTAACCACATCACTGTAACTGTGGTATTGTCACATTTTCTTGAATCATTTAGGAATATGCCCAGGATTGTTAGGCAACTGCCATTTAAAGTATCCAGAAGCTAACACACCACAAAGAAAAAACCACAACACCTCCCTCTTTGCAGACGTCTGTAGCTCTGTTAGTTATATCCTTTGAAAAATAAACAAAGTTTGAGAAGAGATCCCTGGTGTAGGAATACAGCTGAGCTCTGAGACCAAGTTTATAAAGCATGTCAAGAGACCTTACTTTTTGCACCTTAGCCATTAATTATGATTCAGTGTTTTGGTCTAGTGTAGAATACTGTTTGATTGACTGTAGGAGAAGTATAATTGCAAAAGCTCACTGTATACATACCACTTGGGGAGTCTGTTTATCAGATTGTATCTGATAACATGGAGAGAAAGTGAGTAACATGTTCTAGGCAAGGCTGTGGGTTCTCAACTCCTGCCCTGGATTAGTTATAGTAAATATGTACACTGAATCCCAGAAAAGCTTCAAGACCCTAAATTAACATGATATTCAGGTTTTAGTGGAAAACTGTTCTACTTTATAATCTGTCTGAACATACTGGAGTGTGAGTTCAAAGTTAGGATTAGAATTAATACTTTTTTGTTGCTATTAATAGAAGGCAAAATAACAGACTTTTAGTTTGATCAGATTTGAAAGTTGGGAGAGAATACTCAGTCCACAGGTGGGGTGTATAGGGATGCGTATCATATATCCCTTTCGTGAATTGTAAATATGAAGCTCTTAGCGTGCTTACATCGTGAAAGCCTGTATGAAATTTGAAGGGCCAGACCTCAGCCAGGAAATCGGTTGGAGTATGGTAGATATAACTTGACTGTGATTAAGGAACTTTCTATGGCAGCAGAGAAGTGTTTTCTCACAGGGTCTCTACTTAGGAGTTTAAACCAACTAAAAACTATGATTTTTGTTTTCATTGTGTAGCGAGATAATAGAGATGATTCCCAAGGTGAAATTCTACTTGGGAATGACTAAGGTGGTGGGATTTCCACTGTCTAATGGAAGAGTGTTCCTTGGTGCTCTTCTAAAATGTCAGTGATAAGAGAGGGAAAAATAGTTGCTGTTTTCAAATAACTGTACCACACTACTCACTAGCACTATTAAAATGCTTGACTTTAAAGTGGCTTGACTTTAACGCCACTAATAAGAGATCAGAAAGAACTCTATGTGGTTTTAATATATTTTGAAACCTGGTAATAGGCTTCTGAAAGAATAAGATACTTTAACTATATACTGTTATTTTTTTTTTATTTAAATTTTTTTTTCAACGTTTATTTATTTTTGGGACAGAGAGAGACAGAGCATGAACGGGGGAGGGGCAGAGAGAGAGGAAGACACAGAATCTGAAACAGGCTCCAGGCTCTGAGCCATCAGCCCAGAGCCTGACGCGGGGCTCGAACTCATGGACCGCGAGATCGTGACCTGGCTGAAGTCGGACGCTTAACTGACTACGCCACCCAGGCGCCCCTATACTGTTATTTTTTAATATGTGAGTGTGTATTACATTCTCCAAGGTGTGCTTCATTTGGTTTAGAGGGACAGACTAGGAAAGCTAAGAAATCAGCATATTTGCATTTGTAGCAGAGAGGTGTTTGACTGAAGGACTTCCACTGTAATGTGTATTTGTAAGAGTACCAGAATTTTCTCCAATCAACCCACATAGTGTAGCCTTTCTCTAGCATTTCTTAAAGGCTAGCCTCCTGACATTTGTTTCAATTATATCATTAAATTATTTCAGGAATGTTGAACAACAGACAACAAGGAGTCTATTCAGGGGTCTGCAAAAGCAAATCTAAATCCAGTGTTTAATTCAGAAATAACTCTCCTGTATAGCTATGCTCCTATTATGTTGGGATGGGGGTTGGTGCTTATGTAAAGATGAGAAATTATAAAGTGGGAAATTATAAAGAGGAAACATTCCTCCTAGCTCTTAATTGCCTCAGAGATGTTACATAGTGAGACTTCTAATGGAAATTTAAAGATGTCAATTTTCAGAGAAAATAGGAGAGAAATGTTTCCATTATTCTTCTTTACCAAAGTACAAATACATAAATAACTCTCTTGGAATTCAAATCATAATAATCTGGGTGCACAATGTAATTAGGCTGCCAAGTGTAGTTCTTGCTGTGGACAAATAGTTGAAGATTAGAGGTGTCTTTTCTCCTAAATAGAATCATAGTCAAACCAAAACAATGCTTATATCTTCAGTTTCTTGAGTACATTTGACCTGTTCATGAAATAGTTGTACCATTTCTATCTGAGCAGAAGATAAAAATCAATTTGAGGAGGTTTTATACCTAATGTTTGATTTTATGTAAATGACACCTTTGGTAACCAGCTTGAAACATTCTAGCCATGTAATTCAGAAGAAAGGAAAACTTTTTCTGTGGCTATTTGCTTTTGTCTAAACTTTTTCTCCCTTATTCTCGCACATAAAACACTTTATTGTTTGCAGCACATTTAATATTACACCTTTGTATTTGCAGATGTTTCCTTTCAACTGTAAATAACAAAAATGTAGCTGAAACCAGCATAAACATAAAAAGAGACATATTGGGGGTGCCTGGGTGACTCAGTCAGTTAAGTGTCCGACTTCGGCTCAGGTCATGGTCTCGTGGTTCGAGACCCACATCGGGCTCTGTGCTGATAGTGCAGAGCCTGGAGCCTGCTTTGGATTCTCTGTCTCCCTCTCTCTCTCTGCCCCTCCCCCACTCACGCTCTGTCTCTCTCCCTCAAAAATAAACAAACATTAAAAAAAAAAAAGACATTGGCTTGTATAACTTGAAAGTCAAGAGTGGTATTGGCTTTAGGTATAGCTAGATTCTGTGGCTCAGATCATGGTGTCAGATTTATTATAATCTCTGATTCTCCTCTGTGTAAACAAGTCAGAGTCAAATCCGGAAATTCTTTTTTTTCTTTTTTTTTTTTTTTTTTTTAATTTTTTTCAACGTTTATTTATTTTTGGGACAGAGAGAGACAGAGCATGAACGGGGGAGGGGCAGAGAGAGAGGGAGACACAGAATCGGAAACAGGCTCCAGGCTCT